TTTTTTTCTTCTTTCAAAATAAAACGAATCGAAAAACAGACTGATCTATCTATCTTGAAGAAAAGACAAATACAATCTGCTTGCACTCCACGTTTGCTTTTCAGCAATCGATTATTTTGTCGAGATTTAGATGAATTTTAAAATAATAATTTATTGTAACTTGTGCCAAAAAAATAATTTTAAGAAATGTAGATTTTAATTTGTCAATGCGTTTCATCTTCTTTATTAGAATATGAAAACACTCATCAGGGGTCTGCACTACATGCATAGGCACAAGATAAAAAACAAAAAAAGAAAGTACATATATGCTAGCGTAAAAATCAACAGAACATACAAGATCCAAAAAGAGAAAAAGAAAAAGGAGAAAGACATTGAACTTTTTTCGTTACTAAAATAAAAGAAAAGATTTAAAAACATTTTTTTAAAAGATATTTTCAAGAAAAAGAACCACAATCAATTATATAATATCGAAATAGCTTTTGTTTTTCATCATTTCAAACATTTAAATTGCAAGACAATGTTCGATTACGTTCATCATCGATCAGGAAATTTTAATTTTCATGTTATTTCTCTTTGATTCAATTTATCATATTGTAGTAATATAATTCTTCGTTATAAGTTATACCAATTCGATTTAAATTTTATAAATTCATTTACATTTAAATTCTAATTTTTAAAAAATTCATTCATATCTAAAAATCTGATTTTTGTATATTGGTACATTTCAATTTTTAATTTTTATAAATTCGTATTAATTGCATTTAAATATTTAAATTTAAATTTTATAAATTTATTAACATTTTCATTTTAAAGAATTCTTCATTATCTATTTGATCCTTTTTGACTTGTCACAAGTATAATTCTTCATTATAAGTTACAATCTTAACCCTTTACCCCCCAATGGGACACCCGTGACCCATTTAGAAAACCTATCTATTTGGACTGATAAAGCATCGAATCAAGATGGTTCTTTAACATTGTGTACAGCACTTAGTGTGCTACAAAATGCTAAAATATTAAACTTTTTTTTAATTGTCTATTGGTAGAATATTTGAGTTGGAAAATCATGATTTTTCAAAAAAATCGAAAAATCCAATTTCTTTTCTTTTTTCGTCTTTTTATCAGAACACATTGATAACTTATTTTTTTGAACGGTTGATATATGTTACCTAAGGCATCAACCATCTACCCAGAACCTTTTCATAAACTATTGAAATAATGCGTTGAAAGACCATGCTTTGGAACAACTTGGGTCACATATGACCCATTGGTGTTGAGTGACATGAAAAATGCCTTCTTTTGCAGATGCTTTGTTTTTTTTACATAAACTCATTATTAACCATATGCTCATCCTAAAAACATTTGTTATGACTAATAATTGATATGCCTTGATAAGATTTATATATTGTTACATATGATTAAGGAAGAGTTCTTTCCCAATAATCATACACAAGTAATGATATTCACGATTGCCATTCTGTTGATATGTCTTCTTTATATGTTTTAATTCACCGTTTGTCGTCCCTAACTCTTTCATCTATACTTATTTTTCTTTTCTTTTCTGTTCTGTTTCTTGGACATTTATCAGTTTGACCTATTCCTCTATTTTAATTGAGAAAGCATACAATTTTGTGGCACTGCAACATTGAATAAGAAAAGAGAATTTCTCTCTCTTTTCGTCCATCTGAGATGATTCTCAGTATACGACTAAACAAAGAATAGAATATTCTCGACTTCTCTTTTTGACCTCTTTTCTCACTTTATTTCTTGCATAAATACAGTTTGTCTCTTCAATAAAGAACGCATTTATTCATTCGTGTCCTTCATAGTTATTTAACATATATATCTCACCTACTACTTCGTTCTGGTGTTATTTATTTATCGTGCGATTTTTTCTATCATATTGAATTGTATTGGTTTACCTTCTTTTTCAATAATGTCTCAAAATAGTAATACAACAAGCTCATCGGGTTCAAATGTTTTATATAGTTTAAATACAAATTATGATGATAGTGGCAGTGATGGAAGTAATTTGTCTGCTTATGACTCAGAAAGTAATGATGACAATGATGTGCATTATGAAATGGAAAGCGATTCAGAAGAAAAGACTGATAGTGATGATGATCAAGTAGATCTTAATTTAGAAGAAATCAATATGGATGTGGTAACAGATAATCACCAAAATATTCAATGGTCAAAAAAAAACAAAATTTGAACCTGATTTGCCTGTCTTTGGTGAAAAATTTATGTTAAAGGATGATATTGATTTGCCTAAATCACCATCACCATATGATTTTTTTAACTTATTTTTAACATCAGAAATTGTTGATTACATTGTTCAACAATCGAACTTATATTGCACACAACAAAATTTCAAACAAGAACCGATGAACAATTTAGATCTGTATCACTTAATTGGTTTTTTATTTTATTCATCATTATGCAAATTACCATGCAAATCAGATTATTGGACGTCGACATATGGTTCTGAAATAGTGATGAAAAATATAACTAGAAATCGAATAGATCAACTTTTAAGATCATTACATTTTGGTAATAATGTTCTTCAAAAACAACCTAGTGATAAAATACAACCTTTAATTGATTTGTTCAATAACCGATGTGGTTCGGTGGTAAAACAGGAACAAAATATATCAATTGACGAACAAATGATAGGATACAAAGGAAAATCGGCACCAAAAAGTTATAAACAATATATGCCAAAAAAACCGACAAAACGAGGTTTTAAACTTTGGTCATTATCTGGTGTATCTGCATACACGTATGGTATTAAATTATACCAAGGTGCTAATGCAAATATGCCTGTAGCACAAATGAAACTATCATCATATACAACAGCTTCATCTGAACTGCAAACACGTTCGAAACATCGAAATGATGAAGATAGTGAAAAACTAGCTAAACAATCTGAAGATATAAAAAGTTATGGTCAATCAGGGATGGTAGTTATCGATTTATTAGATGATATACCAAAAGATTCACATATTTTTATTGATAATTATTTTGGTTCTTTATCATTATTACATGAAATGACTTCACTTGGTTATGAATTAACCTGTACATTAAGATCAAATCGTATTAAAAATTGTCCAATTAAATCAGAAAAAGCTATGAGCAAATATCCACGAGGTTATTATGATTATTTGGTATCAAAAGAGAAAAAAATAGAATAGTCGCCTGGCAGGATAGAAAACGTGTTTTAATGGGATCAAATTTTATTGGTATTGAACCACTTACACAATTATCAAGATGGGACAAACAAAACCGTCAAAAGGTAAGTGTGAGTGCACCACAAATAGTAAAAACGTATAACAAGAATATGGGCGGCGTCGACAAGGTCGACATGTTATGTGCTTTGCATCCTATAT